TCGAAGTGAGATTCTCGTTAGTGTACGATGGTCTCCTGGTCAAATCTAAGCACTGGTCATGAAATCTGGAATCAATGATGCGGGGCATAATGAATGGAGAGGATCTCAAAGCCCTCCCATCACTAACACCACAGAGGATAGACATATGTGAGGTCGCCTGCAAACCGTACAACACATCCCACCATAGTCAGAAATGGGCATGTTTGCAGCCATGCCCAGTATGAGCTCGTAAGGGCTCAAATTGTAGCAGTGTATACTAATCGGACTCAAAAGTGACCATTACTTTGCTCTACAAGCCGCACAGAGAGACAGAGACTCTGGTGCACAGATACAAAGTGGGACAGAGTGGCACAAGCAGCCTCAAACAAGTCCCAATTTACATGCAGTATTCTGGGGCGTATAGTGTTGAAGTGTCCAAGGGAACGCACATACTGCTCGATGCGATACGGGTAAAGCCTCGACCTGGTGTAATGGTTTGCGGCGCATTGGGTACACGAACGCACATTTAGTAGATCGACGGAAATTTTAAAGCAGATGGGTACATTTCTGACATCTTACATTCAGTAATTGTGCCTTAACTTCGAGGGCCCCCAAATGCTATGTTCCAACAAGATAATGCAAGGGGTCTGTGACACTTAGCCGACAGGACATTTAGCTGACACGGACATTTAGACGACACTACACTTAGTCGACACGGACACTTAGCCGACATGGACACTTAGCTGACAGGACATTAAGCCGACAGGACATTTAGCCGACAGACAGTTAGCAGACAGGACATTTAGCCAACAAGGACACTTAGCCGACAGGACATTTGGCTGACACAGAGAGTTAGCCTACGGGATACTTAACTGTCAAGACATTTAGTCAACAGGACACTAAGCCGACAGTGAATTTAACTGACAGGACCAATAATATTTAAACTATCAATTACAAAATGTCTCAACTATTCCAGAACTTCAATATTTTAAATTATTTTTCACCTATTGTAAAATTCATTTTTCGCTTCTTAAAGTCTATATGTTTTTATTATTGTGTTAATTAGATGTTTGATTGTACATACTGTTTGGGATATGGGAATGAAAAAAGCTGAATTCTATCAGGGAATATGAATTAAATTTTGAAAGGAAAAGAAATTTTAGATAAGACGCGATCACTTATACATTTTATATGTTTTCAAAAATATCCGTAAAGTTTTCATTTTGAACTGATTCAACTTCACACCATTTAATAAATTTTCCCTTGCCTTTCCAATGCTTTCAAATTCTAATACCTTTACTTTCATTATATTTTTCATACATCATGTAATTTTCCCTTAAAAAACGTTGGCTCCTCCCTAATGAATTCCGTTCCGGTCAAGACACCTGAATAATGCAATAAAAATTATAGTGATCTTGAATGATACTTTTAAGAAACTATGGTGATGAGGGGTTAGTCGCAAATATATTTTATTTTGTTATTAAAAACAATTTTTAAAAAATGAATTTTTAAGGCAAGTAAGCATATAAATTTTTTGTGACCTCTATAATTTACAGTTTGTGCAACCATTTTTCAGATAGAAATTCTTTAACATTTTATTGACCATGCCTCTTGCTCAAAATACTTAGGTTAATGTTTACAACACTAAATTGGTGCATAACGTTTAATTTAGAAGTAAAATATTCTTTAAGGTTTTGTTTTATTCATAACTGAAGCTGCAGAAGGAGAGGCCACAAACCAAATAGGCGGAGCAAAGTGAAAAATAGTGACCTCTATCGGTGAAAAAGCAAAGCGACACAAAGCGTCACATCGTGAAAAGTAGTGACCTCTATCAATGCTGGATTTAACTAGATCAGTCATGTAAATAGATAATATTATGTACTATTATTTAAAAGTTGCAACGTGTAGTTTTCAACATAATATGTTCTATTAATGTTATAAGAATAAACTGCATGGTAATAGGGAAATTTTTGGTGTCCACTTTTCTGAATGCATTTATAAAGTTCTAGCCTAAAAAGGCAATTTTCATTGGAAGAGACTCGTTACATATTAAGTAAAACGGTCACTCTATTTCTGTTACTCTCAGCAGCAGCCGAATGGTAAAGTCACTGAACTCTGGCAGTTCGGTCCGAATTTCAAATCCCGGGAACAGACAGGCTGCATGGGTGTTTTCGTAGTTTTCCCCATGTGTAACATAGTATACGAGCCTGTTTTCCATAGAAAGTCCTCCACCAAGGCATCCCTCCCCTTAGGCCAGATAGCCTCTGGCTTTGCTGTAATTACATAAACCAAACCCACTTCTGTTAGGTGGCCGCAATACCATGTCGCTAAACCAAAAACGAGAAATAGAAGGAATGAAAGAGAAAAAAAAAATTAAATTAATGAAAACTGAAATGAAAATTTATACATTTTTAACAGATATTGCGAAAAGTTGTATTTTATAAGGAAAACGGTACTTTTCCGTTTTGCTGGCGCAGGCGATAATAATGGTACAACTGTTGCCAAACGGAATATCTTCCCTGGTAAAATTTTACACCTCATTTTCAAAACAAGTCACAGCCATTTCTTATCAGATTGATTGGTTCTTTCAATGCTGGTTTACAATTACATAGAAGTTTTACCAGATAGTACAATTTAATGCCCTAAGGCCATTCGTGGTAATTAAGTCAATTAGAATGCAATCACACCACTCACCCGAAGGCGAAAAATATAGAAAAGGCAAAAGTCAAGGGTTAAATTCATCAATTCTAATGACAATGCACTAGCGACATAAAGCAATGGTTTTACATTAGCTATTCGTACAAATTGAAGTAATTCTTGCATTTAAACTTGTATTCCAAATTAAGATTTAACTTGAAAATTAATGTAGATAATTACTGAGAGAATTAGATTTTTGTAGCGTAGTTTACGTGAGATGAGATCACTTGGGGTCACATGATACGAACCGGAAAATTAGGATATTGAACTAAGAAAGCATTGTAAATTCTTAAACCAATGTTATTTTACAAATTTTTTGTCTTTATTTAGTGGCTTTTTACAAAATTTTAAACGATATTAAAATGTTTATGACTACAAAATTAAAAATTCTTAAAACTAACATTTGTTAACATTCTTTATTGTATATTGTATGTTGTCGCCAATAAAGTCTACTTCGCGAGCTTTATGCCGGCGAAGCGGAAAAGTACCAAAAAAACATTAATATAACATGTTGTATTGAAAATTACACATCCCGACTTTCAAAACATAGTACACAATATTATCTATTTACATGACTGATCTAGTTAAATCTAGCATCGATAGATGGCACTACATTACGGTGACTTTTCATGATGTGACGCTCTGGTCCGTCTACTTGGTTTGTGGCCCCTTCCTTCTGCAGCTTCAGTTATGAATAAAACAAAACCTTAACGAATATTTTACTTCTAAATTAAACGTTATGCACCAATTTAGTGTTGTAAAAATTAACCTAAGTATTTTGAGAAAGAGGCGTGGTCAATAAATGTTACAGAATTTCTATCCCAAGAATGGTGGCATGAACTGCAAATTATAGGGGTCACAAAAAATTTATACGCTTGCTTCTCTTAAAAATTCACTTTTTAAAATTGTTTCTAATAACAAAATAAAATATATTTGCTAAACTAACCCTCACCACCATATGTTTCTATAAAAAAGTATAATTCAAGAATAACAATAATTTTATTGCATTATTCAGATGTTTCATGACAGGGAAATGAAATTTCATTAGTGGGAGGAGCCAAATGATTTTGTAAGGGAAAGAATGTAACATGATGTGATGAATAGTAATGAACGTAATGAATAAAATAGTAATGAAACGTAAAGGTATTAGAAATTTGAAAGCATTTGGAAAAGCGAGATTGGAAAATTAATATCATTAAGTAAACAAGAAAAATTATTAATGGTGTGAAAGTGTTTAAAAGAACCCAGTTCATTAAATGAAGAAGCTTTACGGATAATTTTTGAAGATCATATTAAAATGTAATTAAGTGACCACTGTACTTGGCTAAAAAAATTTCTTTTTTCCTTTCGAAATTTAATTCATATTCCCTGACGAGAAATTTCAGCACTTTTTCAATCTGGCCAATATACAATAAACCGCACGATACATATCAAACAATGCTAAATTAACACAATAATTAAATGCACATTTAAGAATCAAAAAATGAATTTTTCTGATAGGTGAAAAAAATTATTTAAATATTGGAAGTTATGGAGTAGTCGAGAAATTTTGTAACTGATAGTTTAAATAATTATTGGGTAAGTGCCAGTTAAACGTCACTGTCAGCTTAGTATCCTCTCGACTAAATGTCTTGACAGTTAGGTGTCTTGTAGCTAAATGTTCTGATGGCTAACTCTGTGTCGGCCAAATGTCCTGTCGGCTAAGTGTCCTTGTTGGCTAAATGCCTGTGTCCGCTAACTGGTGTCGGTTAAGTGTCCCATCGGCTAAGTGTCCGCGACCGTAATGTAAGACCACATGTTGCACGCCGTGTTTTGACTTTCCTTGATACACAGGGTCAGTTTGGAAAGAGGGTTACAAGGTCTCCAGATCTGTCACCCATTACCCATAAAATATCTGGTCATGGGTTGCTGAGAGACTGATCTGCCATCCCTCTCCAGCTAATATGGTTGAATGAGTGTGGCATAGACTTAAAGCAGCATGAAATGTTTTACCCATTTCTGTCACCCAAGCCCAATTTGACTTCATGCCTAATGGAGTAGAGGCGTTTTAGCTACCAGGTATGGAAGCTGTTTCTACTAATTCTGCACCTCAGTGAACCTCCAAAATGCTTACAAATTTAATCATTTTATTGTCATGCCATACAGTTAACATGCAATAAATATCTTTTTTGTATTAGCTTTCCTTCATGGTTTTGCAATTTCAATGGCCAGCACTGTATTATTAGCTTTTATAAACAAATACATTTTAGATAGAAGGAATTATAATCAGACAAATCACAGCCAAAGTTAACATACTTTTGAAAAAAAAAGAAAAAATGTCAAACCTAATTTGCTGAAGAACTGGTGCAAGACACCAATCAAATCCCCAAGTGTTAGACCATAATCAGCAATTACACCTTCTATTTGATGAAACTCTGCTAGATGGGTAGCATCTAAAGTTTCATTCCTATACACTTTATCTATGCTGAAATACTTTACCGGTGAAAATTCTTCCTATGGAAATAAATAATTGACAGCAGAGTTACAGATCAACTATGACACTCAAATAAAACCAAATATAACTGACCTAGGTTTGTGTAATAAAACACAATTTACAATTTTCTAACTGTACTGTCATGGACAGAAAACATAATACTAGATAAACACATAATCCTAGCTACAAAAACATTAATTACTTTATACACTTCCTTAAGTACCATATTAACATAAAGTCGCACTCTACATGCAAATAAAGACTTTATCCTGAACTCCTGAATAAATATTTACATTCTAAAATTCAGATTTACATAATCAACTCTACAAACTTAGAGGAGGTGAAGAGGCTTATATGAGCTGATTGCCGGAATCCAGAGTCTGAAACAAAATTACATGATGAAGAATAACATACAGAGTGTCTGGCAGCAAATGAATTAATGTAATTAATGAATTAATGAATTAATGTAATTCATTAATTAATTAATGAATTAATGTAATTCATTTGCTCAGGTGGGGGCCTATTGCTCGGTATGACCACCCAGCTTCATGCAACCCTACAATGCGACCATGTTTAAAGTCGTTTAGTTGTGTGTAAGGTCTTCGTTATCATCATAATGGCATCTGTAGTTGCTTCTTTACAGAATCACAATGGCAGGAACAAAAAAAGATAAATTTTCTGTCTCTGTTACTGGTTTTATATTTTGCGAATAGCGCATTATGATTGCAATTCCTGTTCATTTGCAGTAAAACTTTGATCATTTGCATGTTCGATCAAGATGTTTTTGCATACCAAATTTCGTCACGATTACAAAAGTCCTTCTTGGTGCTTCAATTTTTTGCAAAAGAGTGTAGTTTGCAATAATATCACTGTAACTATTTTGTAATGAATTCATTTGTAATATAATTTCACACCAAAATAAGGCATATTGTTACTTATTTTGAATCACTTTAAATGCCACGTTCCAGCATGTAATGCAGCATTGCAGAAGTAATTTTTCCTCTAGTGCCGATCACGCGCAGGCGCATAGTTATAAAATTTGATGCTTAAAGGCTAAGTAATCAATGTAGTACACATAACAATCTTTTATTATCTCTTTTAAATCATATTTCTTATAATAAATAAGTCGGCATATGGGTACAATCTATTTCTATGACACGGCATTAACTATCAATATAACCTCGTATGACCTGCAGCGAAAGTGTTAATCCATTCCGGATTTATCATTTAAGTTACTATATCGATTCAGCATAGTGTCCACAACAAATTAAGTCAGTTCCGACACTTTCAGTTCCTTTTTGCCAAGTGAGACCAAAGTAAACTTTCAGTTTTGTGCACTAAAAAATCTGCCTTCTTGCGAGCTGGCTCAATGCTTGTTTTTGGGTAGAAACTCTAATTTTAATTGTAAAAATTGCAGAATTATCAAAAATTTAAAAGTTGCCATTTTATATTTTTCAATTTTTAATAAAGATATTTTGAGGTTTCAGGTATTTTGCCTTGTCGTGAAGTGAAAACTGAATTAATTGAATGAGAAATATATCTCTAATGAAATTCGAAAGAAATAAGTTTAAACAAAAATGCAGGAAAAAATGAGTATAATTTAATATTCCATACAAGGAAATCATGTGGTGTACACACCAGATTTTTCATTCAATGTGATTCTTGATTTAATTTTTACATGTTTTGGGAAGAAAGTCCATTTTTCTTATCAGATACAGCTTAACTGCAGTACTAGAGAATCAAATTTCCAGTCCCTTAAAATTTGTTATAGCTCGTACTGTACTAAAAAATTCGATTACAGCAATCCTGTACTAAATATTGCATTAACAAGAAAGTAATTTCAGTTTGCACAAAGTTATGTTCATTTTGTTGTTATTCTGTCAGTCTTATAACTTCGATAACTTCGAATAAAATTGAAGGAGTTAAAAAGGAAATGCCATCAGCAGCCACCATATTCTACACATCCACCTACTTTAAATTACAGAATGGCAAGGTAATTATCAAAAACCACTTTGCAACTTTTGTTGCAGAAAAACCATACCTTTTATATAAAAAGGGTATCCTCAAACTTGTAAAACAACAGAAGAGAACTATAAACAATTATGGAGACTGTAGCCTAGACAAAGAAACATATTTTCTTTTAGATATGACTGCTTGTGTTCTATTTTTAAAACAAGCATAAAACTGCACAATGGTTCAATACTTTACAATTTTCCTTTACAATTTAAATAGCCTTTACAATTTTCCCCAAAAAATATTAATAACACAATCATATTACATAAATTAAAATGTAAATATACCTGATTTGCTAATGCATAGAGCATCCTAGCACTCACACCAGTTGTATGTGTTCTCAATAAATTTTTCTTTGCTTCTTCTAACTTCCAGTCATACTGATATCTGTGAAATACCGTAAAATAAGCTAACATTGATAATTTTTTGTGAGATAGTTTGACATGAGACTGCATTACTTTCATTATAAATTTTCTTGTTTGAATATTAGGTTGTCCAAAAAATAATGTAGGTTTTTAACCTATATCTTTAAAGTATCATAACTAAAAAAAAAAAATTAATTATCAAAATAAGCACCAGCCGAATCAATGCATTTTTGCCAATGAGATATAAATTTATTTATGTTAGTAGAATAAGATTCTGGGGTTCTGTATGCGATAAAGTTGTTAAAGGCGTTTTTGGCCTCATCTTGGTTTCTGAAGCATTTCTTCTGCAGAATGTTACCTAGATGTTTGAAAAAGTGGTAATTGGTCGGCAAAAGGTCAGGCGAATATGGGGAATGAGGGAGTGTCTCGTATCCCAATTCATTCCAATTTTTGTAAGGTCAGTTGGGCGAGCATCATCGCGGATAAAAACTGGCCCCTTTCTGTTGACCAAGCCGAGCACATACGTTGCAATTTTAGGTGCATATTTTCGATTTGCTGACAGTACTTATCTGCCGTAATCGTTCCACCCAGATTTAGGAAGCTGTGATGGATGACACCGGCCACAGACCACCAAACAGTCAACATAATTTTCTTTTGGTGCAAATTTGGCTTTGGAAAATGTTGTGTGTCTAACCACAGTCCGACCACTCAGCTGAATGTCGCCAGTTGTTGGAGAGAATGCACTTTTCATCGCATGTAACAATTCGATCAAGAAAACGGTCGTTTTTGTTGAGGAGAAAAAGAGCAGACGACACTTCAAAATGGCAATTTTTTAAATTTTCGCTCAATTCGTGAGGCACCCACTTATCGAGCTTCTTTGACTTTCCTATACAATTCAAGTGATCAGAAATTGCTGTTTTGCTTACACCAAGCTCCTCCACAAGTTCTTGAACAGTTGTGGATGGGTTTGTTTCAAACTAAAGTCTTCAAATCGTCGTCATCAACAGTGGAAGGCTTTTGATCTTCCGGGTCAAATTCTCCACGACGAAACTTTTGGTACCACCGTCAAACTGTAGATTCATTAACATTTTTCTTGCTCCATATTTCATTGACATTTCAAGCCGTTTGTGCTGCGCTGCGGCCTAGCTTGTACTGATAAAAGTAAATTTGCCAAAAATCCCGTTTTGATATCTGAACAAAAACACCTAGTAAATATTTTTTTTAATAATTTTGGAACAAAATGATTATTATAGAAATATAGAGCGAAAATAAAGTTTCAAAATGATATATAAACCAATGTAATTTTAAATATTTTTGTTGCTAAAAATGTACAGGAAAGATAAACAATTGCAAAAACCTGCATTATTTTCTGGACAATCCAATAACATTGTATAAAACAACAAAATAACAATTTTTATCCTTTAACTGCAATTTGTTGAATAATTTTTACTATATTACAAAAAAACACGTAAATTTTATTACCCTTGAGACCCATAGCCTCCAACAGAATGCACTTTTTTCACTTTTTCTAAATAATCCATAGGAAATTCTTCAGCATATTGAGGATCTGTCAGAGGAAGAAAGAAAATATCAGTAAATATATGGGCACATATTTCTTCTTTTAATTAAAAAAATAATATTTGAATTGATTATAATTCTATATAAAGTATCAGTAAATACCTGTAAAAATAAAATTACATGATATATTTATGTAACAACCAGTTTTTTTCCTCTATATAAGCCACATTTATCCTATCCGACTGAGGAAAAAGGAATCTAATAGCTGTTATATTCAAGTTTCTGGGTTGCTGCAGCAGTCATTTATGAACCACATGTTTTATATCTGCACTATCCACAAAACTTGCATTACCAAGGTAAATTTTAAGGGAGCAACATAAATGAATATCACCAGGAGCTAAATCAAATCCACGTGACAACTCCTAGAAACAGTTGTATGAATTCTGTAGACACTTCTGGGTTTTGCCCCTACTATTACCTAAGCCTAGATGCTTTTATGAAGTTGCAATCAAAGTTGCATCATCTAACAACATGATGTAGCAGCAATCACATTCATTTCATCACCACCAGAAATAGACTACCAGTCCCCTCCTCAAGAAAAATGCACAGCCCTGTTTTTCTAATATTTATTTCTCCCATACACTAACCATTTCCACACTGTCCTGAAACACTCTCAATGATTTATCGCATTACTTACTTAATCTGGGCTATCTGGCAAAATCTCTTGAAACTATTTACATCTATTTCTTCTTATCTTTCACGTTTTTAATCTGCTTGCTAGAATTACCTTGTAATAATGAAAATGAATGATTGTACCAATGCACTGAAATAGCAGTTTTCAAATTTCCTACTTTTATTTTTTAAACTATTGATCTAAAACATAAGCTTAAAAGAAAGTTTCTTAAAGCACGGTATAGAATTTTATGAAAACCCAGTTTTCCCACTGGGAAGAATTACTTCCAATGAGCTATAAAAATCTAACGTTTTACATGGTTACTGCAGATAAAAATTTTGAATGAACAATAAAATAAAAACAAAACATTCCATACTTTTAAGTATAAGATTTGTGGAGATATTCAAGAATGGATTTACTGACATAAAGAATATTTCACTAACTATTGCTAAATGATTTCAAACAGATATTCAACACATTTAGGGGAGATTACCAAGCAGAAGTTCTTCATTTTGGCAATTAATACATCTCTAAAGGCACTCATTTTAACTCTCTAACAAACCATATGAGAGAATTACTACCAATATTTTGCATGTAAAAGCATGGGACATTTTTATTTGAATATAAACAAAGTAACATAACATTTTGCTCCACAGAAAACTTAGAATATTGACTGAAAGAACCCCTCCTATCCCCAAATCATCGAGAACATTGCATAGAGTGCAACATGAAGATAAAAACACTGCATCCACAAAAAGAGGAAAAGATACACACATACAACCAAGTCTTATACAGAAACTGAACCCACACTATTAGTTTCACAGGCTAGCTGTCACTCTTTACTAAACACTATAGTATCCAGCATGGCACATTGAAAATGTTTCCATGAAACTTTCTATTATATTTTAACAAAACCTGTGCCTGAATGCACATGTTTTAGGATTACCATTTAATAAAATAAAGACTAAAGACTCTCTCTCTCTATTTTTTAAACCCTCTATACATTTAGAGAAAAATGAAACAGAAAAGGAATAAAAATCTAATAGTGTCTTCTTATATTTTTAATACAGTACAAAATCATAGATTTGGACTCTTCAGGCCATTCCAGATTTTTCTGGATATTAGATCAACATTTTAAATCTAGTAAGATGGCATGTTGACATCATTAAATTAAAAATATCAAATTGTGATTTATGAAATAATGAAACATTTATGATCTAAAGGGTATTAAAATTTACAAAAATAAAGCTTAATATTTAATTATTTACTTTATTAAACATTTCTTTGAATGTAAATTGTTTAAATTGCTTCGTTTTTTTGCTAATACTTTCTCTTCAATTCTATAGACAGACATAATTTCATGTTCAGTTATAAAGTTCCGCTATTCAAGTTGCTGTGTTGAGAATTCTGACCAACTTGTCAATTGAATTTTTTTTTTAATTTTCGTTTTCAATAACCTCTGTAATTTTCTTCGCTATCAATAGCAGTATTTTTAGGATCAAGAACCATACTACAAATTTTGCCATCCGTTAATTGATCGATAACTGGGGCATTGTCATCACAATGAAAAACTAGTTATATCATCTTCATTTATTACAGCTTCCAGACATTTCTTTACAAAATTGATTAATTGGAAAATTTCACTTGCACTTTGCGATATCCCCAATCCTCAAATTTGCGACTATCAAATTCATCATCCTCCTCACCATGAAATATGGTAGCTGGCCATAAATTATGCCAAGCATTTTTAAAGTATTTGGAACCACATCCTCCCATGATCTTACTATGCTCTACACAGCATATTTCATGCTTAAATATTTCAAAAATTCTTTAATAGTTCAGTCATTATTCAAGAAATTTAAACGGATTTTAAAAATGCTATTTTATTTTTGAATTTCAGTTCGCGCATTATTCTGAATAATGGATGCACCATTTGCAGGAAAGAATAACATGGATACATCATCTTTCATTAAAACTTTAAGTGAAATACGAGTCCAACAGTCGTCTACAATCGGGACAATTTTTGTGTCATCAGGTAAACCAACTGAATTCAAATTTTGCCGAGCTTCAGGTATGAAATGATTTTCAAAGCAATCATAATTAACACATGTGTCATCCATGCTCTTATATTTGCACAATATATAGCGTGGAAAATCTTCACACCTTCAAGTGCTTGAGGTGGTGTATTTTTTCTGATTACGAAAAGTTTACACTTGTGCACTCCTGCAGCATTTGAGCACACTAAAATTGTTAGTCTAGCTTTGGAATCTTTGACATCACTTGGAGCCTTTTCTGTAGAGGTTGTCAAGGTATTTCACGGTACATATTGCCAAAAAAAAAAAACAGTTTTATAAGCATTGTAAATTTGTCCTGGAGATAACGTTTCACTATTAATGAGTTAAATGAATTCATTTGCAAACAGTTCAGCAGCTTCAGTATCAGCTAGAGCTTTTCTACCTGAAATTTTTAATTGCATTATGCTACAGTGACTTTACAATTTGGTTAACCAATCTGTCAAATGTGTGCACCCAGTTTTAATTTCCTTTCTTCATGGAAATAGTTTGCCTAGTGCCATTAGCATTGGACCCGTCAATGGCACGCCCTCGATGCAACGCTGTCTGACCATTCAATCATCCGTTCGAATCATTTTTCTGTTATTTGTAAGGATTATGTTAATTTTATTAACAGTTAAATTTTAAGTTCCTTACCTGTCCAATTCTTAACTTCAACTTACTTTTCTTACTACTAAGTTTTCAACGGACCATGTCGTTAGAACCCGGAAAGTTTATGTTGACCCCTCCGACATTTCAGGTACCTCAGACGTCCACGAATCCTATGGAAGGGTTTAGATTTATTTTGGAAGCGATGCGGGCCTCCATGAAGCCAACAGTAACATGCAACGGCAAGGACTCAGTTTTGACATTCCTGGAGCAACTACACCTACATTTCACTTTGCATCCTGAGAACCAGCTGCAAAAGGTGACCATCGCTACTACAGCCTTAAAAGATCAAGCCCTCAGCTGATATAAGGGCATTGGAAGGTTCTTGTTGGGGATCGGAATTGAACAACTGGGAAAATTTCAAGTCTGCATTATTCAAAGCATTTCCAGTCTTCAAAGATCATGCGAAGCTTGAATCAGAATTGTTTAGTAAATATCAAAGCAATTTCGATGACTTGACAGAATTTATTCTACAAAAAATGCAAATTTTTAATTTATTATATGGGAAAAGGCCCAATAATGAACTTATTGAAGTAATTCTACCCCATCTATTACCTTCAGCTCAAGATTTCCTCAAAGTCCGCAACCCGCAAATGTTAGAAGATCTATTTCAGCTTCCGGTGAAGTTCCAAAGCCGAAGGAATTCGAAGAAAGCACGTGCGAACCAGTTTGGCCAACACTCAAGATTTACTCCTCAAAAGAAACCGCAAGTTCAGTATAATGCAGGCGGGAAAAAGTGAAAAATTCAATAACAAGAGTGCAGATAAAGCAATGGGTGGCAGAAAGAAAAATCAGCATACAGAGGCGGCGGGTAAACAGAATTTAAATGCAAACCGGTGATCGAGAAGGGGCAACGGTCACCGAGTGGGAAGGAAGATCCCTCAGAAATTCATTTAAATACAGTGGTGGTACAAAATCTAGCTATGCCAGAGATACATATTCTGGTAAGTAATGTACAAACTACTGCACTCCTGGACACAGCGGCTCAATGTTCATTCCTCTCAGAAGATTTTTACAGGAAGCATTTTCTTCGTTACAGACTGTTTAAAGCCACAGGACAAAAAGTAATTGCTGCCCAAGGCAAACAGTGTGTATGTTTGGGAAAAACCGCACTGTATGTTCAAACTAAAAATGAGGTGTCAAAAGTTAATTTTCTAGTCATGAAAAATTTACTCACGTCCGTCATATTAGGGGTCGATTTTTTATGCACATCCGGCACAAATCTTATTTTCCAGAATTCTACATATCAGGTGCACATAGATCCAGTGGAAGAAGATGAAGTTTCCATGCCGGAAATGGGCTTAGACCACCTGAAGTTTGAAGAAAAGGAGAAGACTAAATATTTGGTAAGAAAATTTAATTCTCTGTTTAGTGATAAAGTTGACTTCTGCCAAGTAGTTAACCATTCTATTAATACAGGCAATGCCCCTCCAGTCCTGTCGAAGCCCTATAGATATGATAAGGGAAGGAAACAAATTATCGAAAAACATATTGAAAGGATGCTAGAAAACAAAATTATTGTGCTAAGCACTAGTCCTTATGCAAGTCTGGTGGTCCTTTGTAGAAAGAAGAATGGGCTACCGCCTGAGCACCCAGACGCGTAAAGCCCTATAGGTATGATAAGGTAAGGAAACAAATTATCGAAAAACATATTAAAAAGATGCTAGAAAACAAAATTATTGTGCCAAGCACTAGTCCTTACGCAAGTCCGGTGGTCCTATGTAGAAAGAAGAATGGGCTACCGCATGAGCACCCGGACATGTATAGGTTTGCAGTTGATTATCATAAACTTAAGAGTATAACAAAATATCCCACGTATCCCCTACCAATAATTGACGAAATAATTAGGAAATTTGCTTGACTAAGTTTATGACAACCCTAGACCTAACGTCGGGTTATTTTCAAATCGCTGTAAAACTGGAAGATGTTGAAAAGACCGCATTTATTACAATATCAGGCATCTATGCCTTTTTAAAAATGCCATTTGGTAAGTGGTGCGCCAAATACTTTTCAAAAACCAATGGACATAGTCTTAAGGCGAGTTTTATGTAAAAGTACAATTATTTATCTTGATGGCATAATAGTTACCAGTGAAACATTAGAGGAACATCTGAAACATTTGAAAGAAGTTTTTGCCTTACTTAACGAGGCCAGTTTCAAAATAAATGCCAGAAAGTGCAAGTTCGCGGCAAAGGAATTGCGATACCTTGGGTACAAAATTTCTAATAAGGGCACTGAGGCATAATAAAAGCAATTAAAAGTTATCCTCACTCAAATACGGCTAAAAAATTGTCTTCATTTTTGGGCTTATGTTCATATTATAGAATGTTTATAAAGGATTTTTCAAAAATAGTTGAGCCTCTTCTAGTGCTAAAAAGAAAGAAAAGGAGATTTTTTTGAACAGCTGAGGCGAACACCGCTTTTGAACAGCTAAAGAATGCCCTAATTAATGTCCCAGTCCTTAAATTCCCAGAAGGCGAACAAGGTCTAGAGATTGCAACGGATGAATCCGATTATGCACTTGGAGCGGTGCTTTTCCAGAATGGGCAACCTATAGCCTTCTTCTCGAAAACTTTGAATTCTACCTAGAGGAACTATTCCGCCACAGAGCGAGAAACACTCTCTGTCTTATTAGCGGTTCAGAAGTTTCGTGTCTATTTCGGAAGTTCACCAATAACTGTCTACTCAAATCATGCGGCAGTGGGTTGCTTGTATTTGGGAAAATATTTATCGCCTCGCCTGATACGGTGGACTTTAAAGTTTAATTATAAAACACACGCCCGGAAAAGAAAATGTAGTTGCCGATGCCCTTTCATGAATAAAGATTGATGAAGAGGGCAACACAATTAAGTGTGTTCTGCTCACCAAATAGTTACTGAGTCTTGTGATACAATAGTTGAAGAATTGAGAAAGGACCCAGAATTTAAACATATTTACGCATACCTGGAAGACCCTGAAAAGTTTGAGCATGTAGATTTAACGGCTATTCACAATAGGGAGCAGCATTATGAAATAATTGACAAACTGTTATTTTATACAAAGGTAACAAATGATAATCAGGAATGCCGACCAGTGATCACAGCGAGTCTACGTTTAAGTATCTTAGAGGAATTGCATGATCTACCAACCGCTGGACATTTTGGAATTCAAAAAACACTACGAAGGGTATGCAAAGCAGTTCATTTTCCGGAGTTACAAAGACTTGTTACGGCGTATGTTAAGTCATGCCATATGTGCCAGTTAATAAATGATGTTAATTACAGCCCAGCCAGGTATTTAAAAAACATAAAGACCACTTTCCCAAATGAAATAGTTGGCATAGATTTGCTTGGACCCTACCCTAGGACAAAAATTAATAAAAATAGATATTTATTAACAATTGCTAACCATTTTTCAAAATGGGTAGAAATAGTCCCTCTTAAACGAGCTTCAGTTAAAATAGTCGCAGATTTGTTTTTAAATAAATACATTTTAAAATACGGGGCCCCACTGAAAGTAACATCAGATAATGGAAAACAGTTTGTTAACAGTATATTTAAAAATTTATGCACAGGACGAGGCATACACCATCTAAAAATGATACCATATAGACCGGAATCGAATATAGAAGAATGCGTAAATAAGAATATCGTAAAAATTGTCAGGGGATATGTGAAAAAGACACACTGGGACACCGCTGGGACAGCTGTGTCAATGAGTTAGGTTTTGCCTTGAGAACAGCAAAGCATGATACTATGCAGAAGATCCCCGCGGAGTTATTTTTAGGAAGAAAAATCATAACGCGTTTAGATAAGCTGTTCTTTGTACAGCAGAGACAAGAAGAATTTAAGCTAAAAGACATTCAGAGAATTATAGATGAAGCAATTTTTAATTCGAATGTAGCAAGGGAAAAACAAAAATTATACTACGATAGAAATAGAAGGCAGTTGGAGTATAAAGTAGGACAGAAAGTCTTAAAACTTTCTTTATCATCTGCACCCGAAAACAGAGTTGCGAAGTTTAAGCCCAGCTTTGAAGGACCTTACATGGTCGAAAGAATAAGGGAAGCCACAATTTATTTAAAGGCCGAAAATGGCCAACAACTGGTTGCAAATATTGATCAGTTAAAAAACTTATAGACTTTAAAACAGACTTTAAAATATTGCAGAATTTATTACAGGAACTTGGAAGGGAGTATAGAAGCCTGCCAGTTCAAAAGCACAGTTGGGGTGCCGCAACACAAAAAAGGCAACAGATTGAGCAATCCTCGACCAGGCGGATCCAATCTGGTAATGCTACAGGCGCACAAAAACGGAGGAGGTTAGCACCGACAGATCAATGAGCCAGAACCGAGGATTCTGCGAAAACACCAGTACCACTGGCTAGGAGAGTGAGGCCTGCTGACAAGGTTCCAGCCAAGG